GTAACGTTCCCACGTCAGGTGTTATGTATGCTAGCAGCAACACACGGAGTAAACTACATTATACAAACATGGGTTAATGATTAGAGGAAACTAAGTTATTTAGTTTGTTAAAGTTTCAGCTATTCTGTTTACAGTTCTGTCATCAGATTATTTAATATGATTTGTTAAAATATTGTTTTTTCTTTTGATGTGAAATATTATTTATTTTATTTAAATAAAAATAAATGTTAATTTTGTTCAAAATGTGTTTAGTTAATTTAATAATATATGTATTTTTGAATCAAGTCTTCATCTTTATTGTCTTCATTGTTAGTTTCCACATGCCTAAAACAACCTCAAGCTACATCTAAAAGTTGATGGCTAAATAAGAGCGTTTGAGAAATGGTGCAAGGCATACAGTAATAGTCCGAATAGTCGATGAATCGTTTCATTAATCGATAGATTCATCGATTATCAAATGAGTCGTTTGTTAAAGCCCTACTGCATACCTCAAATACAACGTATACATGTCAGTTCATTCATTTCATTCCCCATGTTTGTTCTCACTTTTCCATTATGTTTCAGGATAATTCAAAACAAAGGAGATTTCAGAACGATGTTAGAGCTTGCAGGGCAGGGTGTGAGGGTTACTTTAAAAATGTAATCTGTTAAAATTACCTAAAAAGTGTTTTAATCAACCAAATCTGAGCGTCACAACATAAAATCATGTCACCTGATTAGCCTCGGTTACTTCTGGATTACAACAATATCAAATGTAATGAAAATAAATATCAATAAGATGTTTTTACTTAAGTGTCTTGTATGTAAGACAGCAGAACAATGTGACCGTAGAGAACAAGAAAACAAGATATTTAGGATCCAAAATGATTGTATTGATCGTAAAACCTGCCTTTCATGAAGCATATTCGGCCTATACACCAACGATGAAACACTTGAGCACAGACTACAGTTTAAAAAGCAGAATTAAAATCTGAGCTGACAGAGTTTTAGTTTAAAACACAGCTCACACACACTACTTGATGAACGTATGGGTTCACCTGCTGAATTAAGAACAGAACAAATGAAGCAAAGAAAGTGAAAACCATGAAGTAGATTCAGGCAGTAGAAGAATAGACTCACACTTACAGTATTAGCCTACAGAACAGAACAGTTTACGACATTTGAAAAATATCAGAATTTTGAGGAAAGAAATCAACATTTTGAAAACAGTCTGAATTTTGAAAAATATCTGAATTTGAGAGAAAAAACGAAATTTGAGAAGAATTCCCAATTTTGGAGAAAAACAATTCAGTATTTTTAGGAATGAGTCAGAAAGAAAATGAGCATTTGAGGAAAAAACTAAATGTGTAAAAAGTCAGAATTTTTAGGAATATGTCAGATGTTTTCTAAAAAGTGAGATTTTTGTAAAAAAATCTGAATTTTAGAAAGAAAAAAAAATTGTAAAAAAAATCCGGATTTTGACAAAAGCGAGAATTTGAGAACATTTGTAAAAAAAAAAGTGAGAATATTGAAAAATAGTCAGAATTTTATGCAAAAAGTGAGAATTTTTAAACAAAAATCGAAAGAATACAAAATCTGGATTCTGATCATTTTTTAAGAAGATGATTAGGGCAACGTGTACAAATAAAAAGACAGGCAGTAGAGGTATAGATTCATACTTAAAGTATTAGCCTAAAGAACAGAACAGCTGACAGAAGAAATAACATCTGATCCACTCAGAGTTTGGGAAAAAAGTCACATTTTTGGGAAAAAAGTCACATTTTGGGAAAAAAGTCACATTTTTGGGGAAAAAGTCACATTTTTGGGAAAAAAGTCACATTTTGGGAAAAAAGTCGAAATGTAAAAAAAAGTACGCATTTCATCCGGATTTTTTTTTAAAGTCTGGAATTTAAAGAAAAAACGAAATTTGTAAAAATAAGTCAGAACTTTATGAAAAAAGTGAGAATTTTTAAACAAAAATCTAAAGAATACAAAATCTGGATTCTGATCATTTTTTTAAGAAGATGATCAGGGCAACGTGTAAACAAATAAAAAAGAATAAATATCTCACAAAGCAGATTCAGGCAGAAGGCGTATAGATTCACTCTCAACGTATCAACCTACAGAACAGCTGACAGAGAAGAGAGAACATCCAAACCTTTTACAACAAACACTAGATGCTCTTTTCAGGTTTTTACTAACACCTGCTAGTAATCCACCATTTTAGAATGTTAACAGTGATCTGGTAATGTCTGGTATGTAACTGTCAGGGAGTTCTGATGATGTTATCCATCTCTCTAAGTATCTATATTGGTTTTGTCTTTACTTCTTCAATAAGGACAGATACACGTATGAATGATAAACTACTTTAATAGTTTACCCCTTCTAGATGTTTTGTTTTAAACTATCCAATCCTCCTTTAGTGGCATGGCTTCATCTTGGATGCAAAATAAATTCCAGGTCTGAGTTTGGTTGTTTTCAAAACTCTCGATCAGCAGAGACAAACATGTCTAAACATAATGTTTAAAAACAAATATGCAGGTCGTATTTAGAAAGTTATTTACTGTAGTTTACGGCACCCGTCTGCCTGCCCCCTACACACACACACACACACACACACACACACACACACACACACACACACACACACACACACACACACACACACACACACACACACACACACACACACACACACACACACACATACACATACACACACTCAATTTAAGTCTGCCTTTCTCTCTCTGTAAGCCCTAGACGATGAACTGTCTGATTAGAGATCCTCTTTGGAGTGTGTACACACACACACACACACACACAAACACACACAAAACACACACACACTTGTATATAGCACAGGGGCTCCACGTACATGTAAAGACAGAGGCATTCACACACATAGACATATGCAAACACTTTTGGAGAATGTTCTTAAAGTACAGTCCACACACACACACACACACACACACACACACACACACACACACACACATTAAGATACTCTAGTCTCTCGTTCTCATGGAGATAAGAAGTACGTCTCATTGTTGGCAGACAACGGTCCCGTTATCATTTTATCAGAGCCCGTCCAATCTGAAGGAGGCGGGGCTGCAGTGTGTGTCTGTGTTTGACAGGGGTCTGTGAGTGTGTGTGTGTGTGGGTGGGGGGCCCCTTTAGTTAAGTGGGGGTCCTTTGTCATGCAACAGGTGCTGTTGTCGCTCAATTTGTCCCGATGCTAAAGGCTCAGAGGGCTCGTGTGTTTGCATCAGCTGACGGTGACGACCCATCTGTGGCTCATTTACACTTTCACACAACCTGGGTTAGTGCGCTGTGTCTTTGGGACACGACAGAACGAGACTAACAAACTAATGGGATCTCAGATCATATGGAGTCACTCCGTCATCCCTGTGATGATTTACATGACATGTCATTTAGTCTTCTCGTTGCACTTGTATAATGACAATAAATGCTTGTAATCTAAAGATGTTGCTGATGCTTTTATCCAAAACAACTTGAATGCCATAATCAGGCCTACGGTAACTTCCACATGTATGACTGCTTGCCCTCTGACCTACTATAGTGCTCATTAAAGGACTATTTTACTGTTCGAAATCAACATTCATACAGGCAAACGTCCGCCGTTGTCCTCTTAAGGTGGGCATTTAAAACAACAAAAACAATTATGACACCATGTCATAAAAAGTCTTTTTTTTCACCGAACAAACTTAAAAACCAAAACTATCTATTCTCTCTGGAGATCGTTTTGGTTAAAAATATGTTTTGGGTGAGATGCTTAGCGTAGATGGAGAATCAAACTAAATGTATATTTTTGTACTTAAAAAAGGACTTATAGTATAGTACTATACTTTCTTATGTACTTTTTTTCTGCGTCTTTCTCACCTACAATGAGACATGTGTTGCGTCAGTTGTAGAAGTATTTGAGTACTTGTAGTATTTGAGTTTCCTCTGAAAACGCAGTATGATGCTTCAGCTCAGGCCCCATTTACACGGGAACGCAAACCAAACGAACCAAATTCACACGGATACGGCTCAATAAGCGTGTCCCTTCACACGAGACCGCTCGACCCGCTGGAGACGCTGTACGCCGGGCCTGTAAGTGGCGCTGTACTTCCGCCACAAAATACACCAAAAGCAGCGAAGAAGACCCCCAAGCATGGTTGCCATGGTTGCCCTTTTGTCTATGCTCCGCGGTGGATTTAGCAACATGTAGTTCATGTAGTTCTCCATGTCCACTTGTTGCTGATGGTTGTGGTAGAGGAGCTGTAGATGTTGCTCTAACATCTGTAGCATGGTCAGTAGCTACTGACCATGCTACAGCAGTGAGCAGGAGAGGCGGGGCTATGGCTTCATCTATCGGGAAATGATCGTATAGGGCGTACACACGGAGCCGTTTGGCCCCCCAAAGCGTTCCGTCCGCAGATCTATCCACCTTGGGACCCGTTATCGTTTTAGGGGTCCGTTTCCGCGTTTCCGTTACGGCCTTGTGTGAACGAACGGGCTATACGAAAGAGAAAAGTAGCAGATACAACCGTTTGCGTTCTCGTGTAAACAGCACCTCAGACAAACGTCCTGTTGTCTTTAAGCCCTCATTGTAAAGGCCAATACACACACACACTACAGCGGGTTTTATGCACCTGTATTTATGATGATTTTGTATATTTTCCGATTAAAAAGAAGAGATTAGACATCCCAGTATACATGCGATCAAAACAACTGAATACCTGAATAGTAATATTGTAGAGATTAGCTGGGACTTTAAACTGTCTCTTTATTCATTATATGCTCTGGATCGGGAAGATAGCTTCAATTTGATATAGAAATATTTAAAAAAAAACAAAGCAGGCATTATAAAAGAAATGTGTTGTAATAGCTTTCCCAAGTTCCACTTCAGTTATGCATCATCTTGACAAATCGTCACCGCTTTCCTTCTACCTCTAGATATGTAGTCGTATGTAGAGGTGTGTGTATTAACAATATATTATTTATCTTCTCTCATTCAGATAAAGACTCTAAAGAGAAGAAGGAGATATCCAGAGAGTCGTCCGAGCCCACCGTGAAAGAAGAAGGGGGAAGTGCAGAGGAACCCGTCAAGGAGGCGAAAAAGGAGAAGAAGGAGTCATCCAAGGAGAAGAAGGAGCCGAAGAAGGATTCGAGCAAAGAGGAGGTGAAGAAGGAGACAAAGAAAGAAACGTCCTCCTCCAAGGAGAAGAAGGAGTCGTCGTCTTCAAAGGAGAAGAAGGAGAAGGACAAAGACAAGGAAGGAAAGGAGGCCAGCAAGGAGACAGGGGACAAGAAAGTGCCCAGGAAGTTGTCGGTAAAAGTGAAAGAGAAGAAGAAGGAGCCCGAGGCTGGAGATGTTTGACAGAAGCCGTGCAATAAGATCACATGATATGCATACACACACACACACACACACACACACACACACACACACACACACACACACACACACACACACACACACACACACACACACACACACACACACACACACACACACACACACACACACACACACACACCTATTTATACAGAGTCCATGTTAACGTACACAAGGACACACACGCATTCACATGTGCAGTCTTAGTATATATCCTCATGTAAATGCACTAAGGCCACGTATGGGGTGTCAGGAGCAGAGCAGTTTCTTCCCAGACACATATGTACATTTTCAAGAAATACAGAAAAGCAGGAATGAGTCGTAACACCGGGAAATGAGTTAGCATATTAGCATTTCAGGTTTGTCTGGAAGTCAATGGTTTGTTGAAGGTGTTTTTGGTAAGAAGTCTGAAAGAAGGTCTGTGGTTAACACAAGTTGAAGACATGTTCACGTTTGTTTTATGCCATGAAATACGCCAGTTCAAACCTCATTGGTGAAAACAAGTGTCTAAATTACAGTCTTAAACATCATGACGCTAACCAAGCCTTTAGCTTAGCACAAATCTCTTCAGCTTCTAACCAAAAACACATTGACTTACTTATTAATTTCTGGGTTTTGGGACTCATTCCTGCACCACACACACACACACACACACACACACACACACACACACACACACACACACACACACACACACACACACACACACACACACACACACACACACACACACAGGAACACATGCACACACACACACACACATGAACACACACGTGTCCTGTCTCTCTCTTCCACATGCTCTACTCTTGGTGTGTTTACGCTGCGGGGGAGGATGAAGTCTATAAATCTTCCTCCTCCTCTCCTCAGACATTTCGCTGACTCTCCTTCTTCCTCATCCTCCTCCTCTTCGTCTTCGTCTAGCCCCAACCCACAGTTTTTCTCCGCCTCCCTAATCCCAGTCGAGCCCCAAACCTCCCCCGCCTCGCCGCTAAGAATGTCTCAAGGCCACATCCTTCAGCCACCACCACCCCCTCTGACCTCTGGAGTTTTTTTTATCTGGGACACTCGAGGACACGGGAATCGAACCTGTTCCTGCCCCGTGGAAACCAGGATGGCGTTTTCTGGAGAAAGAAATACAGACAAGAGCCGGTTTAACACCTGAGGATGTTTACTGCTGATCTTGAAGAACACCACGAAGGAGAGGCTGGATAATAAAGACACTCCGAGGCATTTTCTTTGCTCCATTTGATTGGTCCTGAGAGATGGTTGCTACTAAAGGCAGTGGAAGAACAGTCTTTCCGCAGCAAATAACAATAAGTTGTTTGCTTTAGAATAAAGGAACCAACTGATGTTAAAAGATCTGTTCTTTCAAATTAAAAGCATTGTTTATTTTCTTGTAGAGGTGTCTAGCCGTGCAGATAGATAGCTGCTGTTTGAATATCAAAGATGGCATCAGATTGACTAGATTGTACATGATAGGCTAAGGGGGCGGGACATCTCTAAGCGGTTGACCAATCACAACCGAGCCGACCAGCTAACCAATCAGAGCAGACTGGGCTCTGGTTTCAGACTCTTTAAAGTAGAGACACTACATACTGATATACACCTGAACATGAGCAGGAGAGGACTCTTTAAAGTAGAGACACTACATACTGATATACACCTGAACATCAGCAGGAGAGGACTCTTTAAAGTAGAGACACTACATACTGATATACACCTGAACATCAGCAGGAGAGGACTCTTTAAAGTAGAGACACTACATACTGATATACACCTGAACATCAGCAGGAGAGGACTCTTTAAAGTAGAGACACTACATACTGATATACACCTGAACATCAGCAGGAGAGGACTCTTTAAAGTAGAGACACTACATACTGATATACACCTGAACATCAGCAGGAGAGGACTCTTTAAAGTAGAGACATACTGATATACACCTGAACATCAGCAGGAGAGAACTCTTTAAAGTAGAGACATACTGATATACACCTGAACATCAGCAGGAGAGAACTCTTTAAAGTAGAGACATACTGATATACACCTGAACATCAGCAGGAGAGAACTCTTTAAAGTAGAGACATACTGATATACACCTGAACATCAGCAGGAGAGGACTCTTTAAAGTAGAGACACTACATACTGATATACACCTGAACATCAGCAGGAGAGGATTCTTTAAAGTAGAGGCACTACATACTGATATACACCTGAACATCAGCAGGAGAGGACTCTTTAAAGTAGAGACACTACATACTGATATACGCCTGAACATCAGCAGGAGAGGACTCTTTAAAGTAGAGACACTACATACTGATATACACCTGAACATCAGCAGGAGAGGACTCTTTAAAGTAGAGACACTACATACTGATATACGCCTGAACATCAGCAGGAGAGAACTCTTTAAAGTAGAGACACTACATAGATTTGCTGTGCAGGTTAAGAAATGTCTTACAGGCTTCATGTGTGATCAGATTTATAGCAAAGTGTCTGTAGAGCAAATCGATCATAGGACAGCAAAAAAGTTCTGAATGGAAATCTGTCCGGACCCTTTTCGTGATATAAGACTCACACAAAGCGACGAGGAGTTTCCTTCCAGGATGAAGTCCCGGCTGTTTGTTAAAACTGGACACATAGAGACAAATGATCACATTCGTCCTCAGACTGTTGACGCTGGAGATATTAAATTACAAGCTTTAAGGGTTTTTTCTTTTTCATTGCAGGAATCTTAAGGCTTTGGACATTCACACATTTTCATAATTTGGGATCTTTGAGCTGTATTTCTGTCAGACTTGAAGCCTTTTGATTTCAACGACAGACCTCTGTTTACTGGGGAGCTTCTAACCGGCTGCTTATTTCTTTTTTAGCGTTTGTAAATGATAAATATTGTGATTTTTAGCACAATAGAATATATCAACGTGACAACCGTCCTTGCCAAGAAGGTCATATAGAAAGTCTGTGATGTTACAGAGTCGGACACAAGGAACTACATGTGAATGTTTTTTAGGATACCTTGAATGTTTGTAGTTTTGCACTCTTGTATTAGCTGCCTTTATAGCCACAGTTTGTTCACAATGACATGTTTAGCACGTCATTAATGTGCAGCCGAAGAGAAAGGAGATAAAGAAACACATCAAATGTTTAGTAATAAAAGTTAAGCCTTCAATTTGTGCTTTATTGCAATTTTTGATCATCTCTTTGTATTTCCTCTGCCGTAATGAACCCTGAATGATTCTTGAATACTTTCCATTCACACGACAAATCATCTGCTGATATTTAATAGACGCCATTGTTTCCTTCCAGATTTGAAAGCTCTTGATATAAATGAACTTTGAACAGAATCTTTCTTCCCTCAGAGTTCGTCGATGGGTCGTCTTCCTTCTCCACTGAAGATGTAAGTAAAGGGTCATTGTGACACTTCGTATGCCTTGATGTTAATATCTCTACCTGTAAAGTCTTGTACTATCAGTGATTTTAAATAATGCGTATCGATTGGGAACAATTAGTCATGTTGCTTTGAAATACAGCTGTTATGCACATAGGAAGATCTCCCCAAGAAAAACGTGTTCTAGGAGAGTGAGATATATAAATGGCCATTTTGTCTCTCAATGGACATTTGAAACGCAGCAGAGACTCAATGCAGACACACCAACAAATCGTCCTCTGTCATTTCTCCTCCATCTTTTTGTCTTTCTCTCACCATCCCTTCTTCCACAGCTTCACCATCTCTTACTGGTTTGTGTGTTGTCCAGAGGTGGGAAGTAGTGGAGTACAAATACTTCGTTACTGCACTTAAGTAAATTGTTCTGGTATCAGTACTTTACTCCACAACTTATTTTTCTGACGACTTTTTACTTTGACTTCTTACATTTTGAACCCAAATACCTGTACTTTCTACTTCTCACATGTTGAATACAAATACCTGTACTTTCTACTTCTCACATGTTGAACACAAATAACTGTACTTTCTACTTCTGACATGTTGAACACAAATACCTGTACTTTCTACTTCTCACATGTTGAACCCAAATACCTGTACTTTCTACTTCTCTCATGTTGAACACAAATAACTGTACTTTCTACTTCTGACATGTTGAACACAAATACCTGTACTTTCTGCTTCTTACATGTTGAACACAAATACCTGTACTTTCTACTTCTTACATGTTGAACACAAATACCTGTACTTTCTACTTCTTACATGTTGAACACAAATACCTGTACTTTCTACTTCTTACATGTTGAACACAAATACCTGTACTTTCTACTTCTTACATGTTTAACTCAAATACCTGTACTTTCTACTTCTTACATGTTGAACTCAAATACCTGTACTTTCTACTTCACCTGTACTTTCTACTTCTCACATGTTGAACTCAAATACCTGTACTTTCTACTTCACCTGTACTTTCTACTTCTCACATGTTGAACACAAATACCTGTACTTTCTACTTCTTACATGTTGAACACAAATACCTGTACTTTCTACTTCTTACATGTTGAACACAAATACCTGTACTTTCTACTTCTTACATGTTGAACTCAAATACCTGTACTTTCTACTTCTTACATGTTGAACACAAATACCTGTACTTTCTACTTCTTACATGTTTAACTCAAATACCTGTACTTTCTACTTCTTACATGTTGAACTCAAATACCTGTACTTTCTACTTCTCACATGTTGAACACAAATACCTGTACTTTCTACTTCTTACATGTTGAACTCAAATACCTGTACTTTCTACTTCTTACATGTTGAACTCAAATACCTGTACTTTCTACTTCTTACATGTTGAACACAAATACCTGTACTTTCTACTTCTTACATGTTGAACTCAAATACCTGTACTTTCTACTTCACCTGTACTTTCTACTTCTCACATGTTGAACACAAATACCTGTACTTTCTACTTCTTACATGTTGAACTCAAATACCTGTACTTTCTACTTCTTACATGTTGAACTCAAATACCTGTACTTTCTACTTCTCACATGTTGAACTCAAATACCTGTACTTTCTACTTCTTACATGTTGAACACAAATACCTGTACTTTCTACTTCTTACATGTTGAACTCAAATACCTGTACTTTCTACTTCTTACATGTTGAACTCAAATACCTGTACTTTCTACTTCTTACATGTTGAACACAAATACCTGTACTTTCTACTTCTTACATGTTGAACTCAAATACCTGTACTTTCTACTTCTTACATGTTGAACTCAAATACCTTTACTTTCTACTTCTTACATGTTGAACTCAAATACCTGTACTTTCTACTTCTTACATGTTGAACTCAAATACCTGTACTTTCTACTTCTTACATGTTGAACTCAAATACCTGTACTTTCTACTTCTTACATGTTGAACACAAATACCTGTACTTTCTACTTGTTACATGTTGAACTCAAATACCTGTACTTTCTACTTCTTACATGTTGAACACAAATACCTGTACTTTCTACTTCTTACATGTTGAACCCAAATACCTGTACTTTCTACTTCTTACATGTTGAACACAAATACCTGTACTTTCTACTTCTTACATGTTGAACACAAATACCTGTACTTTCTACTTGTTACATGTTGAACTCAAATACCTGTACTTTCTACTTCTTACATGTTGAACTCAAATACCTGTACTTTCTACTTGTTACATGTTGAACTCAAATACCTGTACTTTCTACTTCTTACATGTTGAACACAAATACCTGTACTTTCTACTTCTTACATGTTGAACTCAAATACCTGTACTTTCTACTTGTTACATGTTGAACTCAAATACCTGTACTTTCTACTTCTTACATGTTGAACACAAATACCTGTACTTTCTACTTCTTACATGTTGAACACAAATACCTGTACTTTCTACTTCTCTCATTTTCCAAACAGCTGGTTCCTTTAGTCTGAATGTGTGTTTGGTGCGTGATCATTATTCTTTAGAGTCATTGCGTGCCTATTGATTTGAACACGATCCGTGTATCCATCATTTCCTGGTCTTCTCTAAAGAAGAGGGACCAATGGAAACGTTGTCATGTTGCCGTTGTTCAGCATGGAAACATTCATTAGCTAACAATGACATTATTGTTCTATTAATATAAAGGGAGGTCAGGTACTCTTTAAAACAGCTGCTAGTTATGGGTACTTTTTACTGAAGTACATTTCAAAGCCTCTTTACTTTGACTCGAGTAAAGAAGTTTAGTCAGTACTTCTACTTTTACCAGAGTACTTTTAAACACGAGTATCTGTACTTCTACTTGAGGAAAGGATGTGTGTACTTTAGCCATCTCTGGTGTTGTGTATGAGTGTGTATGAGTGTGTATGAGTGTGTCCCTCTGGTTCTCTCTGAGGTGAGGAACCACTGAACATGGCTGCACACACCCAGCTGGTAAAAACATCAAACAAACAATGCAGCAACAATCAAAGTGTGCCGGGCCGCAGCCGCTGGGATGAGTGTCATAAAAGCAGAGTTTGGATTCAGACGTGGAGTGTGGCTTTTATTCCAGAGTTTATTTCAGTCTCGTGGGGTTTAAGGCGTAAACAAAGTGGATTAGATTATTGCCGCGTCACTTTACCCGGCTGCAGAAGCGTCAGCACGTTGCTCCTCTGCCACGGGGAACTAAAGTGGCTCCTTTTTTCTGCGGACGACATTGATCCC